TCGGTCCACCCACTCCTGGAAGTCTTGCGAAGAGAAGGAGTTCATTGTCTCCTACCCGCTAGGGAAAAATCACAGAGTCAAAGTGGAACAGGTAAAGTGGCATGCGAACTGGAGGCGACGATCAAGCGGATCCGAGAAAAAAGATCGGCCAGGAACGAAAGTGGCATTTTTGACCATGGTATAACAAAAAATACTAAAAGAGGCCACAGGCCTTACAGGATTAAGTACGAAGCCATCACATTCTGAGCGCGTAAGCCAGAATATGTGGAGAATCGGGAGGGCGGAACGTGGTGAAATGGCTGGCTATCAGATCATCCCGGGGGTTCCACCCTCTCCATGTGGCCTCAATGTGTTTGTATGAGTTATGTCATCCCACCTTATTTCTTTTTCTCTCATATAACTACTGTACGGGCTGCTGAGCTAGATATGTATATCCAAACATTGTCGCTTAGAACTTCTAACTTGCCTATGTTCCTAATTATTACTGTTCTATCATCGAGCACCCATATACTTCGCCAAAACCACTGGAACCTGTCAACAGGATCATAAAAAGTTAAAATATACCCGCCGAAGCTCTGAACTTTTCTGGAAATGATCTGGAAATTCATGCCGATCGATATCTCATGGTCATAGCTCTGGTTCTTGCAGCTGCCTGATGCGGCTGCATCGCTTACAATAGTAATGCCAACCAGTGCCGAGCCTTGAAAGACTGTACTCGGTAATCCACACCCTTGGCGACACCCAACGAGCCAGCATAAACAACCCTGTATCAATGCACGTGTCTGGCAACAGCACTCGGATATCACTCGGAACAGGCTTGCAACCTTCCCCTTACGGCCCTCAGAACCAGTCACCCAAGTGCACGGACAATTACCCGGCTGAATGGCTTTTTAGGTAAATCGGTGTTCCACTCCGGAAGGATGCATCCTGTCAACATGGTGGGCACTCTGCTCTATGGGGCCCCCGTTAGCCGCATCTGTACATTATCGGCTTTGGGAGCCCCGTTATCCTCTTCGTGTATTAAGTCGGGTGTGGATATAAATATTGATTGTACGCCACATCGGACGAGACCAAATTTGGCTCGAGTGAAGATTGCTCGATCCTTGGGTCGGGAAATTAATGGCTGCGAGTCCGTTCGAGATGTCATGGACCAATTTCTCCACGCGGCTTATGCTCCTCCTCATATTTTACTGTAGCGATCGCTTTCGCCTTCCATGCCGGACAATACAGAGGAGCTTCCCCAAACCCTAATCACATGCGGTTCTAAACCAGTATATGGTTACCCTCATATTTCACGATCCGTCACAAAGCCGAATGTTTATAATACCCAAAAAAAACGATGTAAATTAGATTACGTAGGACTTGACTTATGTAATTACGGTTATTATCTGCCGCCCATAGTCCTACCAATAGAAGCCATGCGATCCTAGTGGCATCTCATTGCCGGATCTGCACTGCATTTTCTCCATTACATATATTCTAATTCCAACATGGACTTTCTTCGAGAATTGTTGACTGATCGCTTACCAGGACCAGAAACACCAGTCCAAGGCCAAAAATGAAACCGGCTTGCATCTTCTGAAGGTCCCGCTTCAGAAAGGAAGCGTGCCAAGAAAGCTCAGTGCAGCTTCACAGACTCAACGTGGTACGCCTGGTATCTAGTGTGTGAAAGCGTATGTTGATCCAAATATTCAAGTCTTACGGCCTTGGAACTCAATGAACCATAGATGTGCTGCCAGAACAAAAATGATTTGGCCAGTCTCTGCCTCGTCTCGAAAGCTAGGAATGACCTGGCAACTTCGTTTCTTTATCGTTCTCTCAACCTCGAGATATCAAAAGAAAGAGGAGTGGGTATGTGTTTATCCTGAGCTTCTAAGAATGATCGACTGATTATAGCCCCCTCAAGGTGTCCTGGATACTCTGGCCCGTAGTTTTTCAAGGCTCAAACACTGGCTCTGCATTCACGAGTTGGCAATTTGCTGCTGCACCGTCCTCCCACCTATATGTGGGATGAGTGTTGTCATTTCTTTGAGCCCAAATTGACATACATGGCGGCAAAAGAGATCGGTTCCAATTTCTTTGCCACCCGACATCGAGAATATAACGCGAGCTCCCAAATTGCAGACATGTTATGGGGAGTTGGGAGACTCCAAACATTGACATTGAAAGCAAGACTAAACAAAGGACTGCCCTTTCCGTTTCCCAGGGAGACGTCCAAAAGAGACGCCGTGTTCAACACCTTGACTTTTCACATGTTACCACCCAAGACTATGGGCGAAGAGCCTGAGTTAGTGCATTTGGAAAGGGAGCGTCAGGAGAAACTATGCCATGATGTCTTACAGTCAACACCGCACCACGTCTTACAGCATATTATATCGATCACCGAGGATGGCCTACACGTTTCTTTCAGACTTAGGACTGGCGGAAAGTCAGGGTGTATGCGTGCAGTCGTGCCCCGAGTTGGTACTCGTCGGTCAGAGAGGCTTGCACAAAAGCGGGAGATGGAGTCAACAGTGGATTAAAGAATTGGGATCCAATTGGAGTAGGGTACCATAAGTTTTGGTTTTATGGATAACGTTGACCACCAAGAATATTCTATACATATGCGTACAAGCAGCGGATATCAACGAGAAGTTGTTTGAAAGCAATTTGCCATGTGCGGTAATTTTGATAATGAACCGCGGATACGAAGAAGTAAAATGCTCTATGCGCCAATCCTTTACGCAAGCCGACCACCAAGATAGCAACCTCTCTCTATGTTTGCTGAGTTATATCGAACCTTCCAGAAGTCCAGCGCCTAGTTCTAGACCTTTGTATCACCATACTGGTATCTAAGCTTCTGTTATCTATACCTTGTTAGCTACAAAACGATACTACGCGCTATTCATAATTGGATTAGCGTATCATGTAGTTACGGTTCAAAAGAGGATTTCTCTGTTCCTGACATGGAAGGCGATACCGGTTGCTACTGTATACAGCTTTCTGGGCAGAGAAAATTTGCTTCTAATGCCGAGTGCTCGTGTTGCCCGGTCGGATGACTGCGGAGTTCCGCTGTACGGTTTTCTCGGGGGTATTGTGATTGTACCCGTGAGTATATCTTGTATTCTCAGTACTGTTCCCCCACGTGCGGTATCCATTGCCTTTTGTTGACTGAGCACGGCCCTGCTATTTCAGCTGCAAGCTGTATATTGCATGAGTTGATATACGGGATAGGTTCCATTGGCGGACCGGCCTGGCCCATCTTACATCATAAGTTCTAGTCAGCTTACGATTGACCAATGACAAGTGCCCAGCGACATTCCATTTTCTGGTGTGACTATCCCTTATTAGGAGGTCAATCACATGACAGCCAGTATGTTCGCTGTGACTGGGAAAATTCCCTAGCTAGAAGCGTACTCCCTATAGGGACCAAATAGGCTTGTATGCCAGTTACCAAGGGAACATTACCGGAAGTCAAAAGATCTCTTTGGAGGTGCCGAAAAACGAGACAGTCTGGGGATTCTGACATTTAGGATACTGTTAGAACATCAATGTCTACGAAAAGGTAAGATGAATAGGGCGGTAGTTCGCAAAATGGAACACCGCAATTTTGAGGGTCAGTGATCACGAATAATAGATCTAGTTTTGTTTCTATCAGATATGAGGTGTTAATAGGAATCTGGTATTTAAGAGAATGATGTGGCTAACGTCATACGTATAGGTGTTAGTATGTTAGATAGCCAAGTTGTAGTTTCCTTATGCAGAACATTCTACCTAATACAAGTCACTTGAAGGTGTCGCTTTACTATTCAAGAATATTAATGACATAGAGCTTATCAAAGTAAAAGAGACAGCACATGAATGAAGAAAAATAATACCTAGTGAGAGGGTTTCGCGCGAAGATGTATCATATCTATCCTGGCTCAAAAAGGAAATCTATCGAGATGGCGCGGTTTCTAAACAATAAAGCAGCTGTGGATCAACGTATCAGATAAAATCCTGACACAAATACGGTATACTTGGTAACAAAATAAGAGAATTCATACATACTGCTTATAAATAGCTAGACCTAGTCGAGTCTCACTACTTTTTAACCTATCGCATATCATGAATAGGTGATCTGTGATTTCGAGGTACAGGCAGTGCATTGCACCGGGATAACGTGAAGTGATAGGCTTCAATCTAACTCCTACTCCTACAGCAAGGTTAAGGCTGTGACACGGGACCAATTGGCAATGAAGACACCCATGGATTCCTAAATAGGTCGACATGTCCTACCTGGTACCTCATCTTCAGCTGTCAGCCGAAGTGATCTAAGTTTAGCACCAATGCTTAGCCCTGCGCCCCCACAACGCATCATGCGCCCTCGAAGGGGACGCCCAACTAGGGGAACATAGGGCGCCTGGTTTCTTAACCCTTGAAGCTTTTCTCACTCATATTTATGTAGGGACTTTGCACCTTTGGGCCTTTCTGGAACTTTAGTCATCGTGCTAATTTTATTTTCCGAGAGATAATCATGCATGATTCCGGGCGAGGGGAGTATTTCAGTGGTTAGCCGAAGAACATCCTGTACGTCCCTATCACAACGCCCGAGTATCTCAACCCCAAAAGTTTTATTGAAAGCACGAACATCCTTAAAGGAGCCCAAATCGAAATCAAATCAGACGATAAGTGTAACCCTTAAATAGTGAGACCAGTCAGCTTGCTTATTTGAATCTGCAAGGCAGCCCACAATAATTGGGGGATCGTCGAGCCGCTTACCGGATCGCCCTCTAGTGTCGACCGACCAAGACTTCGCGCTGGATCGTACTGAGACTTGCAGAGACTTGACGAATTACCATCATCGCCGCTGGATTATTTTAGAATCTTACTTTAGGAGATCAGATCGTGCTCGTGCAATTTTTTAGAATATAAAAACCCCGGATCCAACCCAATACTTCTCAGTCCACTCTCTATACTCTACAAAAGCATACTATCCAACTGTTTATTCTCGAATACACCGCAAATTCACATTCTTCATAATGAAGTTCTTCGCCTCCACAATCCTCTTCGCCGTCTCGGCCCTTGCCCAGAATGCATTGATCGGCCTCCCTTCCACAGGCCAGAAGGTCACTGCCGGCGATGAGATTGTTGTCCAAGTCCAGCGTCCCGTAAGTGAATGCTTCCTAAAGTCTATCAAATAGCACAATTCCTCTGACACAGTCTCTCTTCGCAGAACTCCCTTACAGGCTCCAAGGAAATGGGAGTCGCAATTGGCTTCTCCTCATGCGCATCTTCGCCGTGCCACACCCCAGAAGAAGTAATGGGAACAATCCTCTATAACGGACCCTTCGATCCCGTATACCACGAGAGCAGCCAGCCCCCCTATGAGAACTTCACTGTCACAGTGCCCCAGTCAACTGCCAAAGGAAACGGTCAGATTAATGTTGCTCATGCTACATTGATTGGTGTAAGTTGTTCACAGCTTTGTGCGCTTCCAGAGTTGGGATTCTAGTATACTGACGTTATTTGCAGGCTGGTCCTTTTCCCTACCTGGAGACTCTTAACAAGACCGTCACCGTTGCATAATTGTGGCACTTTGCAGTTTGCAAAGAGCAAGCTTGGTAAATATTCTCTCTCATTTATTTCGTATATAGCTTTGCTTTGCGGCTTTGTTCTTGGAAATGTTTAAGTGTGATTATACGTTTTATGGAAGGGTGGGATGTTATAACTGGGGCGTCAATAGAGCTAAACAAATATGCAACTCATTTTAATCCTTTTTCATAATTGAATCAATGTACAGTATGTTCGAGTTAGTTAAATAGTTGTGCGAACTATAAGGATCCGGGGTGCATAGCGGAGATACCCTTTGTTAAGAAATGTCGGCCAAGCTCACTGAATATTAAAGGGATGGCATTTAATTAAATGGGGCTCTCTTTAGGGATGAATTTGAGTCGAAACTAAGGAGGTCGGGAATTGTCGAGGTTGAGTTTCTTTGTTTCGCACCCTGAAGACTATAGACCCCGGGCTTATTGAACACTTGATTTGGATGTCGCCTCATTTCTATTGAAGCATTATGACTGGTGCTGCTAGCAGAACATTTATTCATGTCTCGATCGAGTCATCTATAGCAACCGCCTGTTTATCTTCCCTTTGTCCTGCCAATGTTAATAAGAGTGTCATCTCAACACAGCATGTATCTCAATCGAGAGACCTTTCTCTTTTCTGAAGCTCCCCAAAATTGTTACCGGGCACTCAGAATGGATAAGATGGACAAAGCATCCTCTCGCGACTACCAGCCTGTTTCCAGGATGGATTCCGACGGCGACAACGATGCCCCAGTAACAAGCAGACCCCAGCGTCCACCGTTCCAGTCCTTCCTCAAACGCAATCTTGCCGCAATCACCATAACCGGACTCCTCCTCGTAATGGTACTCATGGCCCTCGCCATAATCGCAGCAATCACAGTCGAACCATTCCGCATCCTTGTCTTGAAAGGATCATCATCCGCAGACCCTGCAGATCTAAACGGAAAACGCCAGTGCCTCCCAACGACAACTCGCACAACCTACGCATGTGGAAACTCAACCGCGGAAGCCAAAGCCCTTGGCTGCGATTACGACCCTCTTGCAGGCTGCTGGCTCCACGAAAAATGCCCGCGAGATTTTACACACGAGTTTGCGCATTTCAACGACGGCAAGCCCTTTGTCTACTACTATGATGAAGCAGCTACTCGCCAGATGAAGGACTACGATGAAGTTGGTCGCAACCCGGATTTCTACTGGACTTCTATCCGAGAGCATCTAGTTCATTGTCTCTACCTCCTTCGGCGAGGCCATGATGTCCATATGCGGGGTGATCGTCTGGATACCATGCTTGGAGATCTTGAGCATGTTGATCATTGTACAGATATGTTGGCTAATTGGCTACGGAGACCTGATCCGGTAGCAGAGAGCATTGGCACGCAAGGGCAGACTCATTGCTTTATGTCTTGTAGCTAATCGAGCTTTGGTATGGATGGGGATCGATTATCAAAATAGAGGGACGGTGTGAGAGGATGCTGGTATATCCATTGGCTTGTGTTATTCACCCAGAATGGCGACGATATTTGGAATTTCCTTCTCATTTGTTACATTTACCTCGAATGTGTTTACTATACTGCTCCAATGATCTACATGAAGCGCAAAGAATCCTCGAGCAATTTTCCGGTCGTGCTATAGTAACTGAGCATCTCAACGAATCATTCCACTTGCGAAGTGAAGCTATTTAGGGTTGGATGAAATCCAATCGAGAAAACTCTCTATATGTCTTAAGGTTCTATGGCTTGCTCCATTTCAGATGTAGATATTACATCCAACGCTCTAAAACTGCAATTAAAATGCCAGCGGGCTCCTCAAAGCCCATATTAAATTTAGTAGAGGAAACAGCAATATAGGAATTTGGATAAAAGCCCCCAAACTCCGACCCGAGCCTACAATATCCGACAAACCCGACCCCGAGCCCCGATGAAGTCATACAACCTCACATTCAAACCACCCACCTCAAGATCCCAATTCACCTAAACAACCAAAAACCACCCAAATATGCCCCCCAAGCGAGTCGCCATAGTAACAAGCAGCACTCGCCGCCCAAGACTAAACCCAACAATAACTCAATACGTGCACGACGTCCTAGCCTCCGACCCAACAATCCCAACCAAACACACACACGACACAACAATCGACACAGATCCAAGACACATAACTCTAGAAATCATCGACCTATCCGCGCAATCCTTGCCCCTCTACGACGAATCCGTAATCCCAGCCAGCTTACCAGCATCAGACCCAACACCGCATTACAGCAAAGCTCACACGCGCGCGTGGTCAGCTCTCGTGCGCCAATACGACGCCTTCATCTTCGTCACGCCACAGTATAACTGGAGTATACCGGCGAGTCTGAAGAACGCGCTCGATTATCTGTACTATGAGTGGGTGGGCAAGCCGGCGGGTATTGTTTCTTATGGGTCGAGGGGTGGCAGGAAGGCGGCGGATCATTTAAGGGGTGTGCTTGAGGGTTTGAGGATGAGGGTTGTTGGGACGGCGCCTGGGTTGCCGGTTAAGTTTACGGGGTTGCCGGTTGGGACTTTGTCCGAGGTGGAGGAGAGGGTTGAGGTTGATGAGAGGGATTTGGAGGGGTGGAGGGAGGCTGGGGTTGAGGGGATGATGAGGAATTTGGGGATGGAGTTGGTTTGTGAATTGGATAAGTAAGGAGTGGATGGATGTTTTTTTGAAGTGTAAAGTTGAAGTATGCATTGATTATCACTTTTGTGCGTTATGCGCTTATATGCCGAGATTATTCTTATATGCGGAGATTATATACCTGTCATGAATATCATAAATGCCTTCAATCGGCGTTGAGGATGTCTTCGCGTGTGATACCACTGCGGTCACACATCGCCCGGAAGATACCGTCTTCCTTATCCCACAACACAACCGGCGCATCCATCTCGGCAATCTGGCCCTGGTCCATGACGCAGATTCGATCGTAATGAATGATCGTGCGCAAACGATGAGCAATACACAACAAAGTGCGGCCCTCGAAGCCCTGCGCCATTGTGCGTTGGATCTTCTGATCAGTCTCGAAATCGACAGACGAGGTAGCTTCATCGCAGACGATAATACGCGCATCGCGAACCAGCGCACGCGCAAGGGCCATAAGTTGCCGCTGACCGAGGGAGAAATTGAGACCTTCTTCGTCGACTGGGGATTCGAGTGTGAGGCGATTTGACGGGCGCGTGCCGGCGTCGCTGTTTGTTGCTGGGGTTCCAGGAGATGGGCCGTTTCCTTCGCCTTCGACTTCGAGTTCTTGATCTTGGCCGATGAGGTATGCCTTGCGCAGTGAGTTCCATAGTTCCATATCATTGTGTTCGTTGAATGGGTCCAGATTTGATCGGATCGTTCCCTTGAAGAGGGCTGGGTCTTGTGGGATGATAGCAAGACGGGATCGAAGGTCGGTGAGACCGACTGTCGAAATATCAATTCCATCGATTTGAATGCTACCTCCTGATAATTCGGTGAGACGGAATAATGCCGACATGATGCTTGACTTTCCGGCGCCGGTGCGGCCGACGATGCCGATGCGCTCGCCGCCCTGGACATCCATGCTCAACCCTTTCAGGACGAGTGGTAGTTCAGCTCGGTACCGCATCTCCGTGTCGGTGAACGTGATGCGACCTTTCTCGGGCCAGCTAGCGGCCACCTCGGTCAGATGCAATGGTGCTTCCTCTTCCAGCTCGGTACCGTAATAATGAAGTCGCTCTGTGGCATTCATGTTGTTCTCAACTTCGGCAAGCTGACGAACCGTGAACTGTAGCATCTGCGCAATGGAAAGGATGTAGGACAGCACCAGGCCGGAGATACTGGGTGAGACGTTGAACCGAGACGTGACGACCAATACACCAGTGACGAAGACCAGTGCGGTGGATACCGCATCAAGTCGAACGCTGAGCCAGCGCTGGTTGGAGAAAGTCAAGAAGTAGGCACCGTTCATCACATCGATCGAGTCACAGATGCTGCGTCGGAATTGATCCTCGACTCCGTATGCGCGGATGCATGCTGTGCCAGTGATAGCCTCACCGAACTTGGCATAAACCGTTGATCGCAGGACTGCTTCGTGGCGCTTCATTTCTCGTGCGGAGGCTCGGTAGTAGTTGGAGGCCAGGATGAAGAGAATAGTCAGTGGGACGAGGGCGATGACAAACTAGAATGGGTCAGTATTTCAATGTTGTCTAAGATAGTTATGAAACTCATAAAGACAAAACTCACGTAATAGAAGAAGACGATAATCAAAACCATAACCGAAATAATCATGGTCATCGTCAATGAATAGATTCGCATTGCATCACAAAGTTCATTATCCATCACTGTGACGTCTTTCGAGAAGCGATTGGTGATTCGTCCAAGCGGCGTAGTATCGAAGAAACTCATAGGTGCACGGAGAACCCGAGTCATAGCACGCTGAAGCATCGTCCTACTGGCGTTTGTGCCGCAAGTAGTCATGTATGTGGAGAAGGCAAACATTAGAATAGCGACACCCGCACCTAGGCCAGCATAGACGCCGATGTATTGGCCAGTCGAGAAACTAGGGTATTTGTCAGAAGTCCAATATGAAAGCCATAGACTGGTCCAAATGTTGGCGACGTTGACAGCCGCGATTAGAATCAACAACATGACCGCATTGAAGTAACTGCCCGATGCGCGGATGTAGGCTTTCCAAACACCCCAGCCTACAGAGGCTGTGGCTTTTTCTTCGGTCTGCATTAAGGCACCGGTAGGCTTTCCAGGTGCAGCCTTTTTGGGGCCTGGTTGCTTTTCTTCTGCTTCTTTGACGGCTTCGTCAACTGCTTCGGTCTCGTCCTCTTTTGTGTCTTCTTGTCTAGAAGTAGACATCAACCGCTTGAAGAGCGCACTGTCGCGCATCAGGTTATCAAAGGTGTCGACGGCATCAATACGCCCCTCGTCCATAACAACAATCCGATCACATCGGTTGAGAACGTGGAGTTGATGAGTTGCCAAAATTCGGCAGCGATCCTTGAGTAAACCACAGATTGCCTTGTCCATGATGTGACGCCCGACATGGGCATCCACCGCCGACAATGGGTCGTCCATGAGCACGAGTTCGGCATTGAAATAGATTGCTCGGGCAATGTTCAAACGCTGCTTCTGTCCTCCAGACACGGTGATGCCCCGTTCTCCAATTTCAGTCTGATCTCCATTTGGAAGAATCTCCAGATCCGGGGTCAATGCACATGCATCAATAACTTGCTCATACCAAGTCTCGTCATATTCTTTTCCGAATAAAATGTTGTTGCGCACAGAGGTATTCTGGATCCAAGCATACTGGGGGCAGAATGCGCGTGTGGTGCTCAGTCGTACAGTTCCGTCGGTCACACGCATGTCGCCTGCCAGGGCTGAGAGCAGGGAACTCTTGCCGCAGCCGACGGTTCCAATCACAGCCAACAGTTCATTTCGACCAACTTCAATTGTCACGTCCTTCAGCTTGAATGGCTCCGAGGGTTTCTCCACAGTAAATTCCCCCTGGGGGATTTTGGGGGAGGGTGACTTCCTCCCTGCCTTTTGGGCCTTTTCAGCCTTCTCGGCATCTTTCTCATCTGTTGGAAGCCGTTCCCAGGTGAATGAAGCATGTTCAATCTCAATGGCATTCTCCATCTTGTCGTCCATTTCAATATCATCATTTTGCTCCTCCGCATGGAGGAACTCCTGAATACGGCTGAGAGCAGTCCAAGCATCGGTAACTTGGCCAATAATCATCGGCAGCATATTCAGAGGCAAACGCAGGGAGTTGAACAAAGCCAGTGAAGAGAAAATCGGCGCGGGATCCAAGTTGTGCTTCGAGAGGGCGTAGGTGATAAAGGCCAGCATCGAGGCGAACGTGGGAATAGACATGGACACGCAAAGGATCAGATTTCTAATAGCCAGCAATGTCTGGATGGATCGAATCTCTCGTCCACGCATTTCTTTGAGTCGGCCTAGGAAACTACTTTCCCAGCCAAAGTACTTGACAAAGCGGACGGCTTGTAGGATTTCCTGGGTGAGAGATACTCGCTGGTCGGTGATTTTGTTGATATTTCGTCGACGCTTGACCAAGGATTGGATGGCGAAGGTGAGGGCAGGCATTCCGATCAATAGCAGAGCATACCCTGACAAGCAGCTGTAGCCAATGTTGACCAAGAGAAGAATAAGAGTGACAATGACGGTGATAGGCGCACTCCAAACCATATGGAACATGCCGCATGCCAAGTTGATTCGGTCAACGTCGATACTCATGAGAGCAGTGATGCGGCCATTGTTCCATCCCGTGCCATCGCCAGCCACTCCACCAGGAGCAGCAGCAGTATCGGGCTTCTGGTTATCGTCCTTCTTGCCTTTCTTCTCGGGGTTGAGAAGAGCCTCCTTCGTAGCTTCAAGCGCTTTAACTTCCTCAGGAGTAGCTTTCCCTCCCGCCTTAGCCCGACCAGAAAGCTTCATGGCCTTGTTAAAGATATGCGAAATAAGCACCGCGCGAATCTGCCCACCGACAATTTGACCCCGATACAAGAACTGATTCGTGCACAGACTCTGCAGCGCCTGCATGCAAGTGATCCCCACAACGAAGCCCATACCACCACCAATATACGGAGCCGGCTGACCAGTATGCTGAGCAACATAAGCCTTGGTAGCAAAAGCAATGAGGTACCGCGTCAAGTACGGCGCAAACACGAGCAGCAAACAACTGAAAAATTGACACACGCCACCAAGCAAGAACTCGAACCTGAACGTGTCATACAACGCCCAGACGAGCGGGCGGTTAGTCCCACTCTCGTTCCGCTTGTCTAATGCTGCATCAAGCCGCGCTGATAATACATCAACGGCCCGGTCAGGGTTAACAGTCCAAATATCCTGCAGTTCCAGTGGGCGCAGGTATCCGACTTTCATCAGTGGGGACATCCATTGGAAGGAGATTATGCTGAGGAATGAAGCGCCGTGTTCGTGGGAGATTGATCGCTCCGTTGGGATTGGAGGGATCTTCTGTAGGCGCATGGGGTTGAGTTTTCGATACCATTTTTTCTTGGGCTCCTCTTTGGTTTCGTTGGATGACGATGAGCTTAGGGCTGCTCGGGCTTTCTCGTCCGCCACCACTACTCGGAGTGGTTCGGGTGTGGACATGGCACCGAGTTGTGACGTGAAAGAAGGGAGGACTGGCTGTTATGGAGATGTAGGTGTGGGGCGATAAGCATGTCCTGCGGAATTCCTCAAGATTGTTGGAATGTCTTTTGAGTTGCCGAAATGTAGATCAAAGAAGGTAAGGTAGTATCGGGAAGTTATAAGTTAAATGATAAAACAGTGAGTCACTGGTAATCTCCGATAAATATCCCAGAGGGAACGTTGAGTCCGGACAATAATTGATTTAAAAGCAAAACCCCGGTTTTGTCCTCGCATTCGCTTACAGGTCGAATTGCAGGTTTAATGTCCTGTCTCTTTGCAGTTTAGCCATCGGAGAACGGAGTCCATCGGGCATTAAGAATTCCGTTTGCCGTCCCTGCAGGTGGCGTCGATATTTGATTATTAATTGGTAGGGCATAAGGCGGTTAACTCCGAGGCTAAGCTTTGTTAGGGGTTTCCATTTTTTAACCCTATCTATTTGCTATGGGATACAATTTTGGCCCGGAAATATAAAAGAGAGCCATTCCATCGTCACATCGTAGGACAAGCTCCAGGGAAGCTGATGTCCAATGGGATTTTCAAGGGGGCATGCAATAAAGATGCATGGTAGATCCGAGATCCCCACGGGGATCAGCGGTCTGATTAGATTCGGAGTCCAATCTTCCGTACATCTAATTCTCGAGGCCAATCTTGACCTTCTTCTCGGGGGGAGGAATGACGCGATCCTCAGACGCGCCCTTGAGGTTAGGGAGTTCGGTAACAGCCTCCTTGATGATGTCAAGGGCCTTCTGGATCTCCTCCTCAGTGATGACCAGTGGGGGAGCAAGACGGATGATGTTTTGGTGAGTGGGTTTGGCCTACAAGGAGTCAGTAATCTGCAAGTCAGATCCAAACGAAGATCCTATCACATACCAGCAATCCTTTCTCCTTCATCAACATGCACAGATCCCAAGCAGAGTGTCCATTGGTCTTCGATTCATCAATGACGATAGCATTGAGCAGACCCTTTCCGCGCACCGTCTGAATAAGCGGGCTCTGGAGACCCTCAAGCCCGGCCCGGAACAACTGACCGAGCTCCTCCGCGCGCTCGACCATACGCTCCTCACGTACGATCTCAAGCGCGCGAATAGCGACAGCGCAACCAAGAGGGTTCCCGCCGTAGGTGGACCCGTGGGTCCCGGGCTCGATCGTGAGCATGACGTCCTTGCTGCCCAGCACGCAAGAGACAGGGTACATGCCACCCGAGATAGCCTTGCCTAGCAAGACAAGATCGGGCTTGATTCCGCTCCACTCGTGGCAGAGCAGCTTACCTGTGCGGGCAATGCCAGTCTGGATCTCATCACAAATCAACAGCACGTTGTGCTTGTCGCAGAGTGCGCGAGCCTCCTGCAGGTAGTCGGGATCTGGGACAACAATGCCTGCCTCACCCTGGATGGGCTCGACGAGGAAAGCGGCCAGGTTGGGGCCGGCCGCTTCGAAGGCTTCACGGAGGGCAGCCTTGTCATTGTATGCGATGGGTTTCTCTGTTCCGGGAATCGTGCAGCCGATACCGGGCAGATAAGGACCATAGTGTTCGCGCGACTCAGGGTCAGAGGATAGGGAGATAGCGGCAAACTAATGCAAGGGGCAGCCATAATCAGCCACTGATGTATTGCCGCATGTGACACGGAAAGGGTTGAATTGTAACTTACTGTACGACCGTGGAAGTTGTTCTCTGCGCTAAGCACAATAGCCTTGTTCTCGGGAATGCCCTTGACCTTGTATCCCCATTTGCGGGCGATCTTGATGCCGGTCTCAACAGCCTCGGCACCAGTGTTCATAGGCAGGACCATGTCGAAGCCGAAGTAGCTTGTGACGAACTGGGCAAAGCGAGGGAAGACGTCATTGTAGAAGGCACGGGAGCTCAAAGTGACACGCGAAGCTTGATCCACGAGTGCAGCAATCAGTTTCGGGTGGCAGTGACCCTGGTTCACTGCGGAGTAGGCGGAGAGGAAATCTAGATAGTGACGGCCTTCGGGGTCCCAGACCGAGGTACCCTGGGCCCGGGCGAAGACAATAGGCAGAGGGTGGTAGTTGTGAGCAGCATATTGCTTCTCAGACTCAATAGCCTCAGCAGAGGAAGCCGCGTGGTAGTGGGAGAAAGACCCGTTGGTAGCCATGGTGGGTTGCGGGGAGCGCTAGGAGAGGAAGCTAGGGGATCGACAGGGTATCAAAGGTAGAAGTGAAGTGAAGTGAAGAAGTGAAGATAGAAGAAGGGAAGAAAAAAGACAGCTATAAGTAAGGGAAATCCCCCGTACCTTGTGGCGTATATACCGCCGCTATGCCGTTAAGTGTTAGACCCAGTCAACCCTCGTCCGCTAAGTACAGGTCGTGCCGACTCTGTTCCCTATGCGCAGGATTACCCTACGCTCTCCATTTTCTTTGTTTTCCACTCGCTGTGATTCGTTTGTCTTTTCCAATGCGGGGAGCATATTGTAATATTGTAATATTGTCGAATAATATCGAATTAGGGAAGTCGAAGAGACGTTAACTACATGTACTCTATACATGCGCGTCATAGTTCGGTTACTGAAGGATGCGATCAGCCAACTCTATTAAAGAATAAATATTTAAAATCTAGAAAGATCAGAGAATATCTTCTCATGCTGTACATCAACGGAAAATCAACTAAAATCAATTGGATCTTCACGTTGAGAATAAATCAAAAATGTTCACATTACGTAGTTCACCTCGGTCCTCAAGTTGGGGGCAACTTCTCCCCTTATCGGATTCTCCTGTTCGCATGCCCAGCGTTGAACAACCTTGCGCAATGCGCCACTTGAACCAGTACTTGCGATATCTCTGGTGAACATGTCTACACCTACTTCTCCGCGTCGTCGCGCGCCTCCAATTCCCCACGCGCCCACCCGAAACATCCTCCTCTTCCTGGTCGCCTTCCGCCTGCTAAACGCCTTTACCACGCGGACGTTCTTCCAGCCGGATGAATACTTTCAGTCGCTAGAGCCCGCCTGGCAGATCGCATTTGGTCCAGACCAGGGAGCCTGGTTGACGTGGGTAAGTGATTGCGATCGCGTCGAGGAAGCTCCGAGTCTAACATTGCATTGCTCCTAGGAATGGCGAAACCAACTGCGATCCTCCCTACACCCGCTCATCTTCGCCGCTCTTTACAAAGCTGCGGATTTCCTTTCTTTGGTGCTTCACGTCTCCCCCGCGGCGCGCGCCGAACTCCTGATTGCCGCTCCGAAGACAGCGCAGGCCGTTGTAGCGGCAATCGGTGATTTCTACACTTGGAAGCTCGCAGTTCGCGTCTACGGAAATGAATCTCGTGGTGCCTGGACAACGGTACGTTTTCGATATCCCAAGAGCAATCAAGGAAAGCGCATATTAATTATCGCTGTTAATAGCTGGCCGCTACCGTCCTAAATCCCTGGCAATGGTTCTGCTCGACTAGGACCCTGTCGAATTGCCTGGAAACAACAATCACCGTGGTCGCATTGGAACTATGGCCATGGCAATGGTCGACGGCCTCTGCAGTCACCAATGGCCACGATAAAAATGCCGCCATCCAAAAGAAGAGCACGGGCCAAGACCGAAGTGTTATTTTTCGGTATGAAACAAGATCCAAGGTATATAGCAGCCGCTGACGTTTTTTGCAGGCTGCATCAATGTCTACCACTGGCTGCGCTGGCATGTATATTGCGGCCGACCAATATCCTGGTTTGGGCAACACTGGGTAGCATCGCTTGGCTTCGGACCTCTTGGGCCCGGCGGCGGATCCTCCTGGGCGAAGTTATAGTTTGCGGGTGAGTATGTCTGACACCTAAGTGAGCATCAGCTGACGTTGCGACTCGGTAGAACGGCAATGCTAGCTGTATCTGCTGTTGCAGACCGCTTGTTCTATGGAATTTGGACGTTCCCGCCACTCAGGTTCCTATACTTCAATATCGCCCAATCACTGGCTGTCTTCTATGGTAGTAATAATTTCCATTACTATGCCACAGAAGGCTACCCACTTCTGCTCACCACACTGTTGCCTTTTGCAGTTCTTGGACTATACCGAACCTTGACAACCCGGAGCTCTTCGGTAGTCGATAATGTGCCGACTGCCATCCGAGTGCAATTGGCGACAGTGTGCCTTGTCATGCCATTCGTCCTCTCTTTGATCTCACACAAGGAAGTGCGCTTTATCTACCCATTACTACCATCTCTACATATCTTGGCTGCGCCGCCTTTGGTGCAATTCTTCTACCCTGCCATTTACTCACGAGCATACCCTCGTCATACCCCTCGCAGGTTGATTCTCATCTTCCTCGTGTTTGTTAACCTAGTCATTGCGCTGTACACCACTATTCGCCACGCCTCAGGACCTCTAAGCGTCCTCTCCTATCTCCGCCAACAACACGAAGCCCACGCACCCGCCCAGAAAGAACCAGAATCTACATCTGGAATCTCCGCAGGCTTCCTAATGCCCTGCCACAGCACCCCCTGGCGCTCCCATCTAGTCTACCCAACAATAAACGCCTGGGCCCTCTCCTGCGAGCCCCCAATCGACCAAACCGAATCTCAAAAAGCCATCTACCGCGACGAAGCAGACCAATTCTACGATGACCCAAGTCAATTCCTCCGCCAAAACATGGCCGGCGGTCTCCGCCATTTCCCCCACCGACCCAGCTACGCCTCAGCTGCCCACTCCCTATCAGGGACAGACCTAACTCCAGCTCCGCAACACGAATGGCCGGACTACCTCATCTTCTTCGCCCAGCTCGAACCAACCCTCCGCAGCCTCCTCCGTGGCTCCTACTATGGCGAATGCAAGCGCATCTTCAACACAGACTGGCACGACGACTGGCGCCGTCGCGGCGACATCGTAGTCTGGTGTCTCGACCCAACAGAGCAAGATACATGGCGCGCCGAGACCCAAGCGCGCGTCCAGCAAAGCCGCGAAAAGCAATTCGATCGCATCATGGAGTCGTTCAGGAAAGAAATCCGCAGCCAGCAAAAGC